ATAACTTTCAAGCGCGCGATAAAAGCGGGAGCTTCAGCGTACGCCGTTGATCTTCGCGAGGTGACGTCGACGACAACAGCCGAAGATATCGCGAAGCTGTGCGAAGCCGTTCCTCCGGATTTAGCGGACCTGATTCGAAAATACCCCGAGATCTTCCCGGACGACCTGCCAGCTGGACTCCTGCCGAGCCGACCAGAAGACCATCGCATCGAGCTGGAACCAGGCACCCAACCAACGGTACAGCGACAATTTTGGCTCAGCCAACCAGAACTGGAAGTATTGCAGCAGCAGCTGGATAACCTTCTGACGAAGGGATTTATCCGGCATAGCACGTCCACATACGCCGCCCCGATACTATTCACACTGAAGAAGGATGGAGGATTCCGCGTGTGCATCGACTACTGCGCACTCAACAGGATCACCATCAAGTCGCGTTACCCGATCCCGCGAGCCGACGAACTACTCGACCAACTTCGCAGAGCCAAGTTCTTCTCGAAAATCGACTTGCGAGGAGGTTACCATCGAATTCGCGTCGCAGCCGAGGATTGTCACAAGACGGCTTTTCAAACCTGCTAACGCAGCTACGAGTACCTGGTGATGTCTTTTGGCCTCACGAACACGCCCTCGATTTTCCAGATGACCATGAACGGAATTTTCAGGGAACTCTTGGACAAATGAGTTATTATCTACCTCGACGACATCCCAATCTACAGCCGAAGCAGGGAGCAGCACTTAAAGGATCTTGATGCAGTCTTCACGCTGCTGCACAAGAATCGCCTCATTACAAAAGGGTCTAAGTGTGACTTTCTTAAGCAGGAGTTGGAGTTTTTGGGCCACATCGTTTCTACCGAAGGAGTGAAAATCGACCCCAAGAAAATCAAGACCATACAGGAGTGGAAGCCGCCAAGCAACATCAAGGAACTGCAAAGTTTTTTGGGTTTCGTCAACTACGTCCGCCGTTTTATCCCACATGTGGCTGGGTTATCTCCCCCGCTAACCGACCGACTCAAGGATCACGATCGTTTTTGGTGGGGAGAGAAGCAGGAAGCTGCATTCGACGGATTACAGCAGGTCGCCTACGAATCACGGAAGCTGCAGGGCGCGGAAAAAAACTATACGTACACGACAAGGAAATGCTGGCAATCTTCCATGCGTTCAAGACCTGGCGGTGCTACCTGACAAGCGCTGACGTCACGGTGCAGACCGAACACAAATCCCTCCAGTACCTGCGAGCCCAACCGAATCTCAACTCGCGACAGATCCGATGGCTCGATTTCCTCGAGTCAAATTTCCACTACACCATCACCTACAAACGGGGCGCCAATAATATCGCCGATGCCCTGACTCGACCCACTGCTCATACAGCCGCCATACTAGTCGCCCAGACCAGCCCACTGCTTACCAGACTATTTACCCACGGCTATAAAATCGACCCTGTCTTCCGCTCCGCTATTCATCAACAGCATACCACCGCCACCGGACACTATTTTAATAAGCGCGACACTTCCCGCATCTGGGTACCCGGCTACGATTTACTCCATACCCTGCTAATCCAGGAATCCCACGACAACCCTACTTCCGGGCATTTCGGAGTCGACAAAACGCTGAAGACATTGCAGCGCAATTATTATTGGCCGAACATGGCCGACGGCGTGCGCAAGTACGTGTCCTCCTGCACCGCCTACCAGATCATGAAATCATCCCATCAGCGGGCAGCCGGACTACTACAGCCGTTGGATCCGCCCGAGCGACCTTGGCAACACATCACGATGGACTACGTGACAGGATTGCCGGCCGGTCAAAGTGGAAACGACGCCATCCTCGTGGTCGTTGATCGACTCACAAAAATGGTGCACTTCATTGCCTGCCAACAGACGATCACAGCTGAGAAAACTGCCCAACTGTTCATCGCCAACGTCATTCGACTACACGGACTGCCTACCGCCATCATTTCAGACCGAGACCCAAAATTCACATCGAATTTCTGGCGCCACCAGTGGGACCCGTTTGGCACCAAACTACAGTTTTCCTCAGCCTACCACCCACAAACCGACGGGCAGACCGAACGAGTCAACCCAACTTTGGAGCAACTCATTTGGACTACCTGCACTGACCCACAGACATGGGAGAAATCCCTTCCGCTGCTAGACTTCGCATATAATAACGCGCCCTCCGCCACAACCCATCATTCCCCATTTTTCCTCAACTACGGACAGGACCCCGTGGTACCCTCTACCCCGAACATCGAGACACCCGTGCCCCGGTCCCAAAAAATTGCTTAAGACATTCTCGCCGCCCGACAAAAAGCAGCTGAGGCAATCAGGAAAGCCAACCTGGTCGCAAGCCGACAAGCCGATCGCCATCGACGTGACGTCACTTACAAAGTGGGAGATCTCGTCCTCCTCGACAGTCGCAATTTGTGGCTGCCGATCTCGAGCAAACTCCGACCCAGATTCTGTGGGCCTTTTCAAGTGACCAATATGGTGACACCTGTCACTGCTCACCTCCGACTTCCGGCTGAATGGCGTCACCACCCGGCTTTCCACGTCAGCCTCTTATGGCCCTACGTCCCCAGTTCGTCGGAATTAGCACACCAACGCGGTGTACCGTAGCTGACGCCCCTGCAGGAACCGACGACTGAGCCCTTGAAAATTCTTGGCCATCGAGTCACGACACGGCTCAACCATCAAATGGTGGATTTTCTCTTCCGCTGGCGCGATCGCACGTCAGAAGATGACAGCTGGGTGCCGCTCGCTGAGCTAGAATCACACCCGATTCTAACAGCGGATTATCAGCGTCGGAATGTCTCCGATGCCCGCAGTCTCGTTTAGGGGGGGGGGGTTTAATGTAAGGAATTTCCATTCCTTACTGAGTTGTACGCTAGCGCGTACACCCGAACTCCTCGACTCGTCATGTTCGGCCTCGTTTATCGGCCCAACCCTTTCCCGAGTCGCGTCCGGCACTGTCGCCACACTGCCGAACCTAACCATGTTCCGAGGTTATCGCCCTAGAACGCCAACCCCTATATAGCTTCGTGCCTTCATTACAATAGCGACTTTGTATTCTTACGTTATAGTACATTGACACTTCCTATATCAAACCACAACCGACAGAATCGGATTCGAAATTCGTTATTGGACAATTTCGATTGTGGTTCAAAATTACGACCGAATAATACGACCGTATGTTTTAACCAAAGCACTTAACACCATTTCGGCCGGATTTTTTGGTATTATACGACCGTATCGTTATAAACCGTATCATATGGGAGAATCCTTAAAAAAACGACCCTTTTTTTAACCTTGCCCGTAGTGCCTCACTCCCTTCCTACCCCCCTGCCTCACCATATAGTGCCATATGCCCAAGCATTTTGGTGCATGTGCACATGCACGCCATACGCCCAAGCACGATACTGCATGTGCCCATGCACGCCATACGCCCATGCACACTGGTGCATGTGCCCATGCACGCCATACGCCCAAGCACTTTGGTGCATGTGCCCATGCACGCAATACGCCCACGCACGCTCGTGCATGTGCACATGCTACACCAACCCCCTTGCACGCTGGTGCATGTGCACATGCACGCCATATGCCCAAGCACGCTGGTGCATGTGCACATGCACGCCATACGCCCACGCACGCTGGTGCATGTGCACATGCACGCCATATGCCCAAGCACGCTGGTGCATGTGCACATGCACGCCATACGCCCACGCACGCTGGTGCATGTGCACATGCTACACCAATGCCCAAGCACGCTGGTGCATGTGCACATGCTACTCCAATGCCCAAGCACGCTGGTGCATGTGCACATGCAAGCCATATGCCCAAGCACGCTGGTGCATGTGCATGTGCACCCCATATGCCCAAGCATGCTGGTGCATGTGCACATGCACGCCATATGCCCAAGCACGCTGGTGCATGTGCACATGCACGCCATATGCCCAAGCACGCTGGTGCATGTGCACATGCCACACAAACACCCAAGCACTCTAGTGCATGTGCACATGCGCGCCATATGCCCAAGCATATTGGTGCATGCGCACATGCACGCCATACGCCCAAGCACGATGCTGCATGTGCCCATGCACGCCATACGCCCATGCACGCTGGTACATGTGCCCATGCACGCCATATGCCCAAGCACTTTGGTGCATGTGCCCATGCACGCAATACGCCCACGCACGCTCGTGCATGTGCACATGCTACACCAACCCCCTTGCATGCTGGTGCATGTGCACATGCACGCCATATGCCCAAGCACGCTGGTGCATGTGCACATGCTACACCAACGCCCACGCACGCTGGTGCATGTGCACATGCACGCCATATGCCCAAGCACGCTGGTGCATGTGCACATGCCACACAAACACCCAAGCACGCTGGTGCATGTGCATATGCGTGCCATATGCAGAAGCACTTTGGCGCACATGGCTGCAGCGACATTTCAACGAACAGAAGATGGCTGCTTTTGTGCTGGGGGCATCAAGTTGGCTCAATGAGTCGTTCCACTCGCTCATTTGCAAGTATGCCCCCAAGCAGACACGCTTCCAGGGCAGCATGGAGGCCCGTGTTGCCCTATCGGTCATCCACTGGAACAACAAGGTTTAGAGAGAGGTGAAGCGCCACATTACGAGGTTTCGACGCGTCACAAGGGTGAAACGCAGGCGTCGGGATCACATTCTAGGGCCTATGAACTGGCAGTGGGCAGATGATATTCTGCTGGATTAGAGGGTCTCCAGCACTGAGACACCTATGACATTCACAGCCAGCGCTGCCCGATCCCCTTCACGCCGCCGGATGAGCCCGCTTAGGCATTCTGTTGATTATTTGAAAAACCAGCGTTCCATGTTACTGTGCTTCCCTTGTTTTGCGCTCTGCTTCCAGGACTTGTGTGCGAAACTCATCTCCGTTAGCACCCTCTAATTTCACAGATGCGCAGCGCGCCTCCATGAGAAGGCCGCTTCTCCCTCCACGTCCAGCCCTCTCAGCACCCCCCAGTGGTTTGTCGATTGCCGGCAGCCAGATAGGTTGATAGCTGCAGCAGTGTGAACCTAATACCATCAGTAATCATGTATGTCCATTCTGCAACAAGTCCTTATCCTCCCTGAGTACAGCCACCCCCATGGATATCCTCACCAGTTTACCAGCTAATCCCTTTCCCCTGCCTCCTGTCTTTGTCACAGTGTTCCCTCCTTCCCGTGTATCTCCTGCCCCATGGTTCTTGCCTCCCTTACGACCCTTCGTGAAGTCCATCACCTTCACACGCCCTTCTTGGAGGCCATGCCCCTTCTCCAATTCCCCCTAAAACATTTATGTTCTACCCCATTCTCGAGTCTGGCTAGCCCTCTGCTCACCCTCCTATGTCCCGGCTTCTCCTTTCTTGCTCTCTTACGGGTCCTCACTTCCTCGTCCCATAGCCCACGTCTTAAGAATGATGCACGTCGGAGCAAGTGCAGGTACCCGGGCCCGGGCCCGGATCAGGAGTGGTAGAGGAGGGAAGGTCAGGGGTGGAAGAGGAGGGAAGGTCAGGGGTGTTAGAGGGAAGATCACGGGTGGTAGAGGATGGGCTGACTGCGCTGTCCCTTTGTCCAGCTCCCCTCCCCCACTCCCCCCCCCTCACAGCCTGGTGCACATGATGTGGGGGGAGATCTGGTTGGAGAGCGAGCCCAGCCAGGGCTCATCGTCCTTCCTTTTGCTCCACCAATCCTTGTCTTCTCTTCCCCTCCCCCGCCCACACCCCCTAGCCTGGTGCACGTGATGGGCGGGGAGATCTGGCTAGAGAGCGAGCCCAACCAGGGCTCGTCCTTCTTCTTCACGGCTCGCCTCAGCAGGGCCGCGCCCGGCTCCGCTCCCATCTTCGGCAGCTTGCTCACCTCATCCATCATCCCTGATCCAGTCCCCACCTCCCCCTCTCACGTCTCCTCCCCTGCCCGCTCTGTTGATGCCACTCCTTCTGGGAATCACCAGCAGCAGCACTACCACCACCACAACCACCATTACCAGCAGCACCAGCAACAGGTGCTCCAGCAAGGCCGCTACTCCAACCTTGCCTCCCCTTCACCCTCCCCCGCCCATACCGCCACCACCGCCCCGTTCGGCATGCGGTATGCTCCTCTTTCCACCCCCTCCCCATCATCGGCGGGCATATGGAGGGATCTGGAGCCTTCTCCGCATTGGTCAAGGCCTGTGAGTCGGAAGGGGAGGGCCAGGGCGACTCGAATGGCACCTGGGGGAGGGTTTACTGGTGTGGGGATTGCAGGGGGGGGAGGTGGGAGAGGTGGGGATGTTGGGTCTGGTGGGGGTGTGGGGGTGGGAGGAGGGGGTGAGAGGGAGTTGGTTGAGGCAGAGTGTGGGAGGGGATTCAGCTGGAAGGCAGTCAGGGGGGGAGAGTCAAGGAGGGGAGACTCAGGGAGGGGAGATTCAGGGGAGGGTGGGCTGCTGGAGGTCACAGTGTCTGGTGCTGCTGGTGGCTTGGCAACTGCTGTTGCTGTCGCCGCTGCGGCTGGCTCTATTGCAGCAGCTGATGCTGCTGCTGCTGCAGGGATGGGTCAGAAAGCAGGAGGCAGGGGAGGAGTACAAATAGCATGAGTACCATCAGGGGCAGCAGCGTTGAGGGTGGGAGGAGGTGAAAGGGATACCACCAGCTGCAGCAGCAGCAGCAGCAGGGGCTGGTTGGGTCTGCCACAAACCCAGCGTCAGCTGGAGTGCAGAGGTAGGCGCTATTGCTGCAATTGCAGCCACCGCCATTTAATGATAGGGATGATGTTGCATTTCTTTTTTAGGCAGTGGAACATGTATGGAGGGTTTCGGGCGGGGGAAGAAGCAGAGCCAAACTAGAGATCGATCACCATCTCCTGCTGCTCACTTGAAACGCTCCTCCCACTCGTGCTCTCAGCACCACCTCTGCTCCCACTCTTGCAGCTATTGGTAGTGCCGTGTTCCTCTGCTGGTGATAGCCATGCTGTTGTGGATAGAGTATGGAACGTTGGTGGTTTCTGAAATTATTGATAATTAACATAAACAGGTGAAGATATATTGAATCTTTAACAGCAACAGAGTGGAGAAAGTGTAGGAGGAGGTGGCAGCCCCAGCAGCAGTGCTAGCAGCAGCACTAGCAGCAGGAGCCGCTGCCCCTACCCCTCTATCGTTTGGTGGCACCCCCCTGCCCCTGAAAGTGGGCGTCTCGCACTCCGGGCCCTCCATAAAGGGGCCCGAGTGCGGCGCAGGCAGCACCAGGGAGCTGCCGCTGCTGCTGCTGCTGCTGCTGCTATCCTCGAGGTGAGAAGAGGGGTGTGATGGTGGGAGAGTGGGGTGATGAGGGGGGAGAGCGTGGTGGGGCAGAGGGTTGAAGGAAGAGGAGGTAAACGCTGCACTCTCCTCCTCGCCTCTCCTCCTCCCCTCTCCTACTCGCCTCTCTGCCTCACCTCTCCTCCCCACCTCTCCTCCTCCCCTCTCCTCCTCCCCTCTCCTCCTCGCCTCTCCTCTCCTCCCCACCTCTCCTCCTCCCCTCTCCTCCTCGCCTCTCCGCCTCACCTCTCCTCCCCACCTCTCCTCCTCCCCTCTCCTCCTCGCCTCTCCGACTCACCTCTCCTCCCCACCTCTACTCCTCCCCTCTCCTCCTCGCCTCTCCGCCTCACCTCTCCTCCCACCTCTCCTCCTCCCCTCTCCTCCTCGCCTCTCCGCCTCACCTCTCCTCCCCACCTCTCCTCCTCCCCTCTCATCCTCGCCTCTCCGCCTCACCTCTCCTCCCCACCTCTCCTCCTCCCCTCTCCTCCTCGCCTCTCCGCCTCACCTCTCCTCCCCACCTCTCCTCCTCCCCTCTCCTCCTCGCCTCTCCGCCTCACCTCTCCTCCCCACCTCTCCTCCTCACCTCTCCTCCTCCCCTCTCCTCCTCGCCTCTCCTCTCCTCCCCACCTCTCCTCCTCCCCTCTCCTCCTCGCCTCTCCGCCTCACCTCTCCTCCCCACCTCTCCTCCTCCCCTCTCCTCCTCGCCTCTCCGCCTCACCTCTCCTCCCCACCTCTCCTCCTCCCCTCTCCTCCTCGCCTCTCCGCCTCACCTCTCCTCCCCACCTTTCCTCCTCCCCTCTCCTCCTCGCCACTCCGCCTCACCTGTCCTCCCCACCTCTCCTCCTCACCTCTCCTCCTCGCCTCTCCGCCTCACCTCTCCTCCCCACCTCTCCTCCTCACCTCTCCTCCTCCCCTCTCCTCCTCGCCTCACCTCTCCTCCCCACCTCCCCTCCTCCCCTCTCCTCCTCGACACTCCGCCTCACCTCTCCTCCCCACCTCTCCTCCTCCCCTCTCCTCCTCGCCTCTCCGCCTCACGTCTCCTCCCCACCTCTCCTCCTCCCCTCTCCTCCTCGCCTCTCCGCCTCACCTCTCCTCCCGACCTCTCCTCCTCACCTCTCCTCCTCCCCTCTCCTCCTCGCCTCTCCTCTCCTCCCCACCTCTCCTCCTCCCCTCTCCTCCTCGCCTCTCCGCCTCACCTCTCCTCCCCACCTCTCCTCCTCCCCTCTCCTCCTCGCCTCTCCGCCTCACCTCTCCTCCCCACCTCTCCTCCTCCCCTCTCCTCCTCGCCACTCCGCCTCACCTCTCCTCCCCACCTCTCCACCTCCCCTCTCCTCCTCGCCTCTCCGCCTCACCTCTCCTCCCCACCTCTCCTCCTCCCCTCTCCTCCTCGCCTCTCCGCCTCACCTCTCCTCCCCACCTCTCCTCCTCACCTCTCCTCCCCACCTCTCCTCCTCACCTCTCCTCCTCCCCTCTCCTCCTCGCCTCACCTCTCCTCCCCACCTCCCTCCTCCCCTCTCCTCCTCGACACTCCGCCTCACCTCTCCTCCCCACCTCTCCTCCTCCCCTCTCCTCCTCGCCTCTCCGCCTCACGTCTCCTCCCCACCTCTCCTCCTCCCCTCTCCTCCTCGCCTCTCCGCCTCACCTCTCCTCCCCACCTCTCCTCCTCACCTCTCCTCCTCCCCTCTCCTCCTCGCCTCTCCTCTCCTCCCCACCTCTCCTCCTCCCCTCTCCTCCTCGCCTCTCCGCCTCACCTCTCCTCCCCACCTCTCCTCCTCCCCTCTCCTCCTCGCCTCTCCGCCTCACCTCTCCTCCCCACCTCTCCTCCTCCCTCTCCTCCTCGCCACTTCCGCCTCACCTCTCCTCCCCACCTCTCCACCTCCCCTCTCCTCCTCGCCACTCCGCCTCACCTCTCTCCCCACCTCTCCACCTCCCCTCTCCTCCTCGCCTCTCCGCCTCACTCTCCTCCCCACCTCTCCTCCTCCCCTCTCCTCCTCGCCTCTCCGCCTCACCTCTCCTCCCCACCTCTCCTCCTCCCCTCTCCTCCTCGCCTCTCCGCCTCACCTCTCCTCCCCACCTCTCCTCCTCCCCTCTCCTCCTCGCCTCTCCGCCTCACCTCTCCTCCCCACCTCTCCTCCTCCCTCTCCTCCTCGCCTCTCCGCCTCACCTCTCCTCCCCACCTCTCCTCCTCCCCTCTCCTCCTCGCCTCTCCGCCTCACCTCTCCTCCCCACCTCTCCTCCTCACCTCTCCTCCTCCCTCTCCTCCTCGCCTCTCCTCTCCTCCCCACCTCTCCTCCTCCCCTCTCCTCCTCGCCTCTCCGCCTCACCTCTCCTCCCCACCTCTCCTCCTCCCCTCTCCTCCTCGCCTCTCCGCCTCACCTCTCCTCCTCCCCTCTCCTCCTCGCCTCTCCGCCTCACCTCTCCTCCCCACCTTTCCTCCTCCCCTCTCCTCCTCGCCACTCCGCCTCACCTCTCCTCCCCACCTCTCCTCCTCACCTCTCCTCCTCGCCTCTCCGCCTCACCTCTCCTCCCACCTCTCCTCCTCACCTCTCCTCCTCCCCTCTCCTCCTCGCCTCACCTCTCCTCCCACCTCCCCTCCTCCCCTCTCCTCCTCGACACTCCGCCTCACCTCTCCTCCCCACCTCTCCTCCTCCCTCTCCTCCTCGCCTCTCCGCCTCACCTCTCCTCCCACCTCTCCTCCTCACCTCTCCTCCTCCCCACTCCTCCTCGCCTCTCCTCTCCTCCCCACCTCTCCTCCTCCCCTCTCCTCCTCGCCTCTCCGCCTCACCTCTCCTCCCACCTCTCCTCCTCCCTCTCCTCCTCGCCTCTCCGCCTCACCTCTCCTCCCCACCTCTCCTCCTCCCCTCCCCTCCTCGCCTCTCCGCCTCACCTCTCCTCCCCACCTCTCCTCCTCCCCTCTCCTCCTCGCCTCTCCGCCTCACCTCTCCTCCCCACCTCTCCTCCTCCCCTCTCCTCCTCGCCTCTCCGCCTCACCTCTCCTCCCCACCTCTCCTCCTCCCCTCTCCTCCTCGCCACTCCGCCTCACCTCTCCTCACCACCTCTCCTCCTCCCCTCTAATCGTCGCCTCTCCGCCTCACCTCTCCTCCCCACCTCTCCTCCTCCCCTCTCCTCCTCGCCACTCCGCCTCACCTCTCCTCACGACCTCTCCTCCTCCCCTCTCCTCCTCGCCTCTCCGCCTCACCTCTCCTCCCCACCTCTCCTCCTCACCTCTCCTCCTCGCCTCTCCGCCTCACCTCTCCTCCCCACCTCTCCTCCTCCCCTCTCCTCCTCGCCTCTCCGCCTCACCTCTCCTCCCCACCTCTCCTCCTCCCCTCTCCTCCTCGCCTCTCCGCCTCACCTCTCCTCCCCACCTCTCCTCCTCCCCTCTCCTCCTCGCCACTCCGCCTCACCTCTCCTCACCACCTCTCCTCCTCCCCTCTCCTCCTCGCCTCTCCGCCTCACCTCTCCTCCCCACCTCTCCTCCTCCCCTCTCCTCCTTGCCACTCCGCCTCACCTCTCCTCACCACCTCTCCTCCTCCCCTCTCCTCCTCGCCTCTCCGCCTCACCTCTCCTCCCCACCTCCCCTCCTCCCCTCTCCTCCTCGCCACTCCGCCTCACCTCTCCTCCCCACCTCTCCTCCTCCCCTCTCCTCCTCGCCTCTCCGCCTCACCTCTCCTCCCCACCTCTCCTCCTCACCTCTCCTCCTCCCCTCTCCTCCTCGCCTCACCTCTCCTCCCCACCTCCCCTCCTCCCCTCTCCTCCTCGACACTCCCGCCTCACCTCTCCTCCCCACCTCTCCTCCTCCCCTCTCCTCCTCGCCTCTCCGCCTCACGTCTCCTCCCCACCTCTCCTCCTCCCCTCTCCTCCTCGCCTCTCCGCCTCACCTCTCCTCCCGACCTCTCCTCCTCACCTCTCCTCCTCCCCTCTCCTCCTCGCCTCTCCTCTCCTCCCCACCTCTCCTCCTCCCCTCTCCTCCTCGCCTCTCCGCCTCACCTCTCCTCCCCACCTCTCCTCCTCCCCTCTCCTCCTCGCCTCTCCGCCTCACCTCTCCTCCCCACCTCTCCTCCTCCCCTCTCCTCCTCGCCACTCCGCCTCACCTCTCCTCCCCACCTCTCCACCTCCCCTCTCCTCCTCGCCTCTCCGCCTCACCTCTCCTCCCCACCTCTCCTCCTCCCCTCTCCTCCTCGCCTCTCCGCCTCACCTCTCCTCCCCACCTCTCCTCCTCACCTCTCCTCCCCACCTCTCCTCCTCACCTCTCCTCCTCCCCTCTCCTCCTCGCCTCACCTCTCCTCCCCACCTCCCCTCCTCCCCTCTCCTCCTCGACACTCCGCCTCACCTCTCCTCCCCACCTCTCCTCCTCCCCTCTCCTCCTCGCCTCTCCGCCTCACGTCTCCTCCCCACCTCTCCTCCTCCCCTCTCCTCCTCGCCTCTCCGCCTCACCTCTCCTCCCCACCTCTCCTCCTCACCTCTCCTCCTCCCCTCTCCTCCTCGCCTCTCCTCTCCTCCCCACCTCTCCTCCTCCCCTCTCCTCCTCGCTCTCCGCCTCACCTCTCCTCCCCACCTCTCCTCCTCCCCTCTCCTCCTCGCCTCTCCGCCTCACCTCTCCTCCCCACCTCTCCTCCTCCCCTCTCCTCCTCGCCACTCCGCCTCACCTCTCCTCCCCACCTCTCCACCTCCCCTCTCCTCCTCGCCACTCCGCCTCACCTCTCCTCCCCACCTCTCCACCTCCCCTCTCCTCCTCGCCTCTCCGCCTCACCTCTCCTCCCCACCTCTCCTCCTCCCCTCTCCTCCTCGCCTCTCCGCCTCACCTCTCCTCCCCACCTCTCCTCCTCCCCTCTCCTCCTCGCCTCTCCGCCTCACCTCTCCTCCCCACCTCTCCTCCTCCCCTCTCCTCCTCGCCTCTCCGCCTCACCTCTCCTCCCCACTCTCCTCCTCCCCTCTCCTCCTCGCCTCTCCGCCTCACCTCTCCTCCCCACCTCTCCTCCTCCCCTCTCCTCCTCGCCTCTCCGCCTCACCTCTCCTCCCCACCTCTCCTCCTCACCTCTCCTCCTCCCCTCTCCTCCTCGCCTCTCCGCCTCACCTCTCCTCCCCACCTCTCCTCCTCCCCTCTCCTCCTCGCCTCTCCGCCTCA